AACGCACATTATATATACATAAATAGCATACGGTTAGGACTACGATTACTGTCGTGGCCAGGTAATTTCCCCATCATTAGCTGAAATGATATGCTACAATTCAATGCTTGGCACCACACAGTTATCCACCCCGTAATGTCATTAAAATTGTGTTTCCGTGGCTTTGGAAGCTTCGCAGCAAAACTTCTTAATGGCCATCAATTGTCTGGCCCAAGGCGAGGCACGACCAGACAAAGTGATAGGAGCCGTCGGCCAGGTTATGCACACCGTCTTGTATGATGTTTTATCTTTTCCCCGCCATTTGTGAGCAGGTATTTTATCTTATTTTGACTGACAAATAATCCACTTATTTAGTTATTTTATTTGATTGTTTGGATGTTGTCAGTGCGTTTCGGTAATTTGTTTCCTATTTTATCTGTTACCAAATAACCAAAAATTATTGTAGTTTGTTCGACATGCCTGTACTTTTTTGTACATATAAAACATTGTTTTCTGTCTATCTGCTGTTTCCAGAAACTTTCTAACCTTAATCCCTACAATTTAACAAACATAGATTATTGTTCTAGTCGTGGTTGTAGAAGAGAATCACCGTGAATTTGGTGGGATATGATTATGATGGTGTGGTGGTGGTGGTGGTGATGATGATGACAAGCTGACCCAAAGTCCCGTTATCACCAGGACGGTTCCAGGTTTTCATGTGTGTCCTGTGCTGGTCTCACCCTTCGGTACTCCAACAAGAAAAACGGGAATTCACCCCTGTATCACAAATCTATGAAAATTAGAGGACCCTTTTCCACGCCTTTAGGCGTATATGGCATATAGGGCTAGACCTATATTTTATAGACCAATCAACACAAGAATATTTTTATTAGGGGCCTCCACTTATAGATAAGTGACTTTAAGTTTTTTTGTTTGTAGCTGTGTCAATGTCTGTTTGTTTCACATGCTGATGAAAGCTTTCTAGCCGCATACATCAATTGTCCCTTCAGCCAGCTGGTCAGCTCAGTCCCGTCTAGAAGTCATTGGAACCGCCTCCATTCTTGGTGGCTGACCTCAACAGCCGTCACTGAGAAGTGCTCGAGGATTGTTTCCCCACAAGCCAAGATGCAAGTGTTTACTCTCTGTGTCTGCCTTCCCGTCATCAGTAATGTTGCCGTGATTATAATATTTCTGGTAGTTGTGTGGTTGAACTTTGACTGGTAAATACTAGGGTTATGTTTACTCTACCGGACACAGATTTCAAGAGAGATAGCACAGCTCATAACCATGAAAGTGACACAACTCACTATCACAAGAGATGACACAACTCACTATCACAAGAGATGACACAACTCACTATCACAAGAGATGACACAACTCACTATCACCAGAGATGACACAACTCACCATCACAAGAGATGACACAACTCACTATCACAAGAGATGACACAACTCACCATCACAAGAGATGACACAACTCACTATCAGAAGAGATGACACAACTCACTATCACAAGAGATGACACAACTCACTATCAGAAGAGATGACACAACTCACTATCACAAGAGATGACACAACTCACTATCACAAGAGATGACACAACTCACTATCACCAGGATGACACAACTCACCATCACAAGAGATGACACCACTCACTCACTATCACAAGAGATGTCACCATCACAAGAGATGACACAACTCACTATCACAATGTGACACAACTCACTATCACAAGAGATGACACAACTCACCATCACAAGAGATGACACAACTCACTATCACAAGAGATGACACAACTCACTATCACAAGAGATGACACAACTCACTATCACAAGAGATGACACAACTCACCATCACAAGAGATGACACAACTCACTATCACAAGAGATGACATCACTATCAGAAGAGATCACAACTCACTATCACAAGAGATGACACAACTCACTATCACCAGAGATGACACAACTCACTATCAGAAGAGATGACACAACTCACTATCACAAGAGATGACACAACTCACTATCACAAGAGATGACACAACTCACCATCACAAGAGATGACACAACTCACTATCACAAGAGATGACACAACTCACTATCACCAGAGATGACACAACTCACTATCAGAAGAGATGACACAACTCACTATCAGAAGAGATGACACAACTCACTATCAGAAGAGATGACACAACTCACTATCACAAGAGATGACACAACTCACTATCACCAGAGATGACACAACTCACTATCAGAAGAGATGACACAACTCACTATCACAAGAGATGACCGATTACATGACCTCGGAGAGATGCACGGTAAAGCACGTCGGTGCCATCCCCGAGGTCGCGATAGGAAACAATATAACCAGTCTCTCAAGGGAACAATTGGTAGAGGTATCTTGTGGTGGCTGCTACATTGCAGAACTGAGCAGGTATGGGAAGGCCCACTGTGCAGTGACGTCGATCGTTAAACATAAAATCTCATTGACACATTACAATAAGAGATGACAGAGCTTGTGTGACTCATTACCCTTAGAAGCAAAAGCTACACATCAGCAGTATGACCGTCTTTGTTGTATGAGGCTGTTCGTCTATCACAAGTGATGAGCATCACTCTTTCTTTCATCCGTCATCAAACTATAGCTGATTGTGAGTCCCGAGGTGACTTATAAGCCTAGAACGGGCCTGAAAGGATCTAGAACAATGAGTGCAGGAAACAGTGCCTGTCGGTGAAGAACCTATTATACTGATCTTTCTAAACTAACTTCGCTGTCTCGCTGCCCTTTTTGCTCCTAGATGCCTGACAAGTCACTGCACCTGTTCCGACAGACATTTGCCTTGTAGTCTAGTCTTGTGCAGCAGCCTCCCAAGTGTGACGGTTTATGTTGACAAGCAGGAGGCTAGACCGAGTCTCAAAATACACATCGCAAAAGTTCGGCTACACTGACATTCGTCTGGGTTCCAACGCAACTGACAACATGTTTACATTTGACAAAACACAACTTATATTTTACGTTGAACATAAGGTAGCCAAACAAGCTACAGCAAGCCAGAATCTGCATCTATGGTAACAACAATGAACTTGATGACAGCAGCCGACATAGAACAGAACTCCGTTCTTTACCTGGAGCCTGCCAATCTTCCGTCCCTCTGTTGTTTCCCTCTGGCCTTCTGTCTGACGGCTTGTCCACTCTAAGGCTGCAATATCTCAGTCTGGAGGTCAAGCCGGCACGGCTGAACCCAGATATACTGTCCCATCCTTAAGGAAATCATAACTGGGGCATCAGCATCACTACACGAGCCTGGGGTAACCATTTGATAAACATCATTTGATAACCTCATGGGCCTCCTTTGCTGTGATCTCAGGTAACCCTCTGTTTTCCAGCTTGGACTGAGTGTGTGGTGAGAATAATGTCAGGATGGTGGTCTCACACTCGTATCACCATCATCATAATTATAATCATCATCATTATAATCATCTTTATCATCATAGTCATCATCAACATAATCATCAATAGTTGGGCAGAGAGTGAAGAAGGACAGACACACACATACATCAACCAAGACTTTATCAAAGACTGCTTCTCTTACGTCCTTCCCGGCACAAGACTACAGGTGACCCCTGGCTGGTGTTGCCGTTCCGGGTGTCCTAATTATCACTTCTGTGGAGCTTGAACAGAATATCTGGGACCTTCCTTGTTGATCTGCCGTCCAGAATTAGATTGTTTTAATCTCAGTACTTCGTTTCGGTGTTTCCCAGATCTAGAACATGTCCATTTGTGATCCAAACCCTTTCGGTCTGTTCCTGAAGGGTTTATTTTACAACAGAGAAGCATTTACTTGTGAATGGCCCGTAACCTAGTTTATGCTATCCTCTGCAAAAGATGTAAAATGTGATAAATTTGGGAAACCGGTAGGAATAGCAGATCGCTTCCCTGAACATCTTGCTGATATTCGTAATAAGGCTAAAACCTGTTTTCCTCCATTTCAACAGTTCTAACCACCAAAGCGAAAGCGGTCTCTCAGTCACTTCTATTCAATCTGGTTCCAGTGTTCAAACCGGATGCCACCCCTTAGAAAATCGTTCATTCATAGTTATTTAACTTATTCATATTTCTCCCCCTCTTTTTACATATACCTTACCTGTATGGTTTCGTATTATAACCCTTCATATGTATAACACCCCCCCCCCCCCCCCTTTCCAATCCCCATTATATATTTCTTGGTTTTTTGTTGACCTTGTTTTTTTTTAGAAGCTCTGTTGTCTTGTCCGTTGTGTTCTTCAGTGACAGTTTGTGCTCTGTTTAGTACTCCGTTGATAAAGTCTTTGGTCGACACGTTCGGTGTTGCATTTGTTTGCGTCTTTTCCATTCCCTCTATAAAGCTTTCTAGTTACATTTTATGTTTTATTTAGCCCTATTTAAATTTCAGGATGTTATGGTATACCTTTTGGTAGTACCCCGGGAGAAACACACAGATTCATCCATCCAGTGATGCTTCTCCCACTCTGTGTAGGCGGGCGGGCGTGCGTGCTTGTGTGTGTGTGTCTGTGTGGCGGGGGGAAGCGGGGGGGGTAGGGGGGTTAATTTATATTCTGGAAAAAAGAAATTTATCCAAAACTTTCACCCAATAATACTTTCCCAAAGGATACTCCCCCACCACCCAAATGACACTTCCTCAGATAATATGTTTACCTAAATGACACTTCCCCCGATAATATTTTATCTAAATGACACTTCCTCAAATATTATGTTAACCTAAATGACACTTCTCCCAATAATATGTTTACCTAAATGATACTTCCCCCGATAATATGTTTACCTAAATTACACTTCCCCTGATAATATGTTTACTTAAATGATATTTCCTCCAAATGAATCTTTTCCCCAAATGGTACATCCCTGAATGGAACATCTTCAAATTATATTCTCTCCACATATTTTCACAAAATTATTATTTATCCAAAAGATACTTCCCACAAATAATACTCACCCAATAATGATATTCCTTGAAAAATTCTTACCTATATGATATTTTCATTATTCTTTTTAAAAACAGCTGTTTTTACAGGATACATTCCACAAATGTTAGTTTTCTCTACACGCTGCACTCTGAAATTTATATTCCCTTCCAAAATATCATTCACGGATGATATTTTCCTCATGATACTTTTCCAACATGATGCTTCCCCTTATGCTTTCCATACATGATATTTTCCCCACATGATACTTTCCACACATGATACTTTCCTTATATGATATTTTTTCTTACATGATACTTTCCCCCCACGTGATACTTTCCCCCCATGTGATACTTTCCTCCATATAACACTTTCCCCACATGATACTTTCCTCTATATGACACTTTCCCTACATGATACTTTCCTCCAAATGATACTTTCCCTATATGATAATTTCCTCACATGATACGTTCCACATAAGATACTTTCCTCCATATGATAAGTAAAGTAAAGATCCCTTTACATGCCCTTAGGCGCATCAGGCATATGGGAAGAGCACCCATATTTTTACAGACCAATCGGCACTCAGTGGGTAATATGGTCAGCATTACGCCGGCCATCTTTACTTTCCCAGGTCAGCCCATCCTAGCACCCATTTGAGGCTGGGTCTAAGTATTTGACACTTACATGAAATGTGGTTTATGGACACAATGGGAATGATGCAGAAGATGGGCAAAAATTGCTCACTCATTCAAGAAACTGCAGATATTGTAAGATGAGTTAAGATTTATTGTTAATGATTGTTTGATGATAAACCAGTTCTCATTTTCAGTTGTATGAGGGAAAGTCAATAAGTAAAACATAAATGGTTATGGGATGGCAGGAAAATGTAGTTGATCGTTTCTAAAGGTGTCATTAGGTGACAGCAACATCGAACTTTATGTCTCTGTTCGTAAGGTGGCGCTAGGTGCTGCATGCACATTCGCAACACAGAATCAAAATAGTGACTGTACGTACGGAGTGTACCCTCAAAGAACAATGTGCTGTTGTGTGTATGTTGTTGTTTTTTTTTAGCAAAAAGGCTGCCTGCAGCTTGAGAAGAAATTTTGAACAGGATTATAACGGGACAAATCATGGCTGCATCACTACCAGCCTGAATCAAAGCGTGCTTCAGTGCAATGAAAACATCCTTCTTTGCCTTGTGTTAAAAAAACTTAAGGTTATGCCATCAACAGGGAAGGTTATTATGACAGTGTACTGGTATTGTCAGGGAGTGGAGTGGTGTATCCAGTTTTTAAAAAAAAATTTAGGTGGCAATGTGAATGCTGATTCATACTGTAAAGTTCTATTGATGCTTCATGATGCAACTCGAAGAAAATGTGCAAGCCGGTGCTGACTATAGGAGTACTGCTGCTTCAGGACAAGGCCAGACCACATACATAACTCAAGACAAAATTAACATCTAGGGTGGTAACTTCGGGAACATTCACCTTAGCTCAACTTAGCCCCTAGCGATTTCCACCCTTCTGATCCACTAAAAACCCGCCTTGGTGGGAGACATTTTGCAAATGATCCTTTCCTCCATATGATACTTTCCCTATATGATACTTTCCTCCATATGATGCTTTTCACACATGATAATTTCCTCCATATGATACTTTCCCTATATGACACTTTCCTCCATATGATACTTTCCTCACATGATACTTTCCACACATGATACTTTTCTCCATATGATACTTTCACTATATGACACTTTTCTCACATGTTTCCCTATATGACACTTACCTCACACAATACTTTCCTCCATATGATACTTTCCATACACATTTTCCCCACATAATACTTTCCTTACATGATGCTTTCCCTATATGATGCTTCCCACACATGATACTTTCCCTATATATTACATTTTTCTTACATTATACTTTTCTCACATGATGCTTTCCCTATATGATACTTCCCACACATACTTTCTCCACATGATGCTTTCCCTATATGATACTTCCCACACATGATACTTTCCCCATATGATATTTTTCTTACTTAATACTATCCCTTCATGATACTTACCTCAGATGGTGCTTTTTCTATATGATCTTTCATCACTGATATATTCCCAAAATACTTTCCCTACATGATACTCTTGCCTCCTACTTTCCACACATGATCCCCCCCCCCCCCCCCATGATTATCCTTGATTGATACTTTCCCAAGTTAAACACTGCCCTCATGATACTTTTCCTAAATGATAAGTTCCCACAAGTGATACTTTTCTAAAACACTAGTATCAAGAAATAAGACTCCACTGACAAGTGCAGTTATAAATAAGTTAGTGTTTATTCAACAAACACTTGGTACAAAACGGGTATAATGATAAATTAAAATTTGCTTATATATTTGAACAAAACAATATTACTTGTATCTTCACAGAACTTGTAGCACTGCAAGTTTTGTGTTTACATACCAACAGGTAACCAGAGCAGAAACTCCAGGAGTTGATATGACTGGTTTCAAACCAGTATAATTGGTTGACCTTAGTAACCATGGTGAAACTTGGTTGACCTTAGTAACCATGGTAAAACTTGGTTGACCTTAGTAACCATGGTAAAACTTGGTTGACCTTAGTAACCATGGTAAAACTTGGTTGACCTTAGTAACCATGGTAAAACTTGGTTGACCTTAGTAACCATGGTAAAACTTGGTTGACCTTAGTAACCATGGTAAAACTTGGTTGACCTTAGTAACCATGGTAAAACTTGGTTGACCTTAGTAACCATGGTAAAACTTGGTTGACCTTAGTAACCATGGTAAAACTTGCCGGTAAACAATTAGTGGTTAGCATTAATAGTTAACTGGGAGTCGCTGTGGTGTAGCGGCTAGATGCTTGCTTGTGGATCTGAACGTTGTGGTTTTGCTCCCAGACAGAGCCGGACTTCTTTCAAAATGACCTTGACTCCCAGGTCGACCCAGCCTTGAGTGGGTACTGGGTGCAGTCCCGGGAAGTAAAGACGGCCAGCGTGATGCTGACCACATTACCCATCTCGTGCCGACTGGTCTATAAAAACATAGGTCTAGCCCTATATGCCTAAAGGCATATTAACTGAGCATCAAAGTTCAGTTTTCTTCAGCAAATGCTGTGGATATTTGGAGGTAGCAGATTTCAATGTCCTATATCTTTTTTTTCTCTTTTAATGTTGTCTAGTGTGTTCTCAGTTCTCTACTTCTTGCCTCTAATTCTAGTGCTAATCAATACCTGGTAATTTATTTCTCATTCATTGCTGGCAAAGGGCTAGTAAATGAAAGCAGGATATTGTACAGAGCTGGAGGATACAATGTTCTTCAGGTTTGTGGTGAGATGCACTGAAGAGATCAGGGGTTGAAGAGGCGGAGGCAACCTAGAGAAATAGCGCTGAATGGTCTAAGAGGCTGGTATGGAGGATAATCTGATCTAGAAAACCAGTGACCAAGGCCTGTGTAGAGACATAAATGTCGTTGCCATCTGGCAAGACACATGATGATAATGATTGTTACAAAAATGAGCTCAAAGATTTCTCAACAGCAACAGATGTTTTGGGGAAAATATAAACTCTACCTCGAAGACCAAACAGTTTTCGTTTTCTTTTCCACTATATTTGGTCGGAGATTTTAACCAAATCTGGCCTCTCCAAATGTCACTTCCACTGTGCTAGTAGCCTCTTTGAAAGTCAAGAACTTGTGGATTTTTACTGTGGTCATGCCGTGAATTGTTTTCCCTTATAGACAAACGTTTCTATTGTGGCATGCTTGTGCGTGATCTTTTGCATGATATGCTAACGTTCTTTGTAACATTATAAGCTTCAATTCAAACTGTTGCTTCAGGTCAGTTTGTCCCTTATATTTTTTTTATAATTTCACAGCTCAACATTAACTACTGGAAGCTGCCATAATAGCAGCTAGAAGCTCACTTGCGGATCCGAAGGTCAAGAGTTCATGTCCTATCGCAACTAGATTTTTTTTTTTTTATGATTACGGGTCGCAGGTTGAACTAGCATTAAACGAGTACCAGATAAAGTCCTGGGAGGTAAAGGCAGCTGGCGTGGTGTTTACAACACCCACAGAGTGCAGACTGGTCTGGTCTATAAAATATATTTTTGTTATGTTGGTACTTTTCTTTTACTTTCCCTAACACCGACCACTAAACCTCTACCACTTACTAAAAGGCAAATCGTTACAGTAACAAATATCTCTAACACAAGTAGTCAAGTCAATCAGTTAAATTACTTGATTTGTTACTGTTTTATATCAGTAACTTGCCACAATTTTTAGTAACTTGCTGAAAAAAATAATGTAACTTTGACTAGTAAGAATCGTTCCCTAACAAGGAAATCAAACAAATGAGAAGCCAGGTATGATATTTGATGAAAATGTCATGTCTTTCTAACAGTCAATATTATAGTCTTGTACTAGTGATACCATTATTCTGTACATACCCTATGTTTTCTGTCTGTTTTCTTTCTGTTGCATTTATCTGTGTTTGTCCTGTTTCACGTGTCTGTCTTGGCTCTGTGACTTCTGTCTGTTTTTGCTTTGATGCCTTTGTATGTGTTGTTCCTGTATTTCCTGTCTGTTTTCTTGCTGTTACACTTGTCTGTGTTTGTCCTGTAATTTCTTGTTGCGTGTACGCAACAGCAGAATATGAATTATCTATGCCCTTCATCTTGGCTGATATTGGTATTAGTGGAGCCTTTTCCGCGGTTGATATTTCTGGGGGCGTGGACTTATTCGTATCCTGGTCAACAAGACTTTCAGCCAGACGAGATTTTTTAAGCCGTATTCGTCGCACCAAAAAATAGGTACTAGACACTATCATCTGAAAATATCATTTACAAAAAGTTGAAATATTTTACAAAATTCTTAATAATGCAGCAAAAGTAGCAAACTTTTGATAAATTTAGTGCGGCAAATCTAATAATAAATCTAAATTAGAACAAAATGAATTTAAGCAAATTCAAGAGAATATTCGATATAATTTTAGGATGTTAAAACTTGAGAAATAAGGTGAAAGGCAGAAAATTTGAAGTAAAATTAGGGAAATAAGTGGATTAAATTATTAATCAAAGTCAAATCTGATCTTTACTAGATCTGAGTAAAAACTAACTTTTGGCCCGTGGCCTTCCACAGTGAAATACAACTTAGGAAAACCTGCCCATGTGACTGCCAAACTTTGAAGACCAGATTTTTGTTTTTTGTTTTACATTGATTGCTCTTCTTAGAAAAACATATTACCTGTCTTGACTATCTCTAGTACATCTTTTTAAGGCAGTGTAGGGTCAGAGGGCTCGAGCCTGGGGATTTAGGGCTACATGGCTGCATGCTTAGTGCAGTGGCCATGAATTCATTAGCTTATAATGATGTTTTTGCCCTTGACTGAAAAACCTCTAACAACTTAATGAGGTTCTGAACCTGGGTCTTTCCTCTTCTCATTCTGTCTTCTTACCCCCAGTGGAGCATAGACCCTCAACAAACTCTCGCCAAGTCATTCAATTTTTGATTAACTTCCTGCAGCTTCCCTCATGTTCTTCCTAGTTTTTAAACTTCTCTGTCTAGCCCCCTTCTCTTTATTTTCTCCCCACTGTTTCCTCATTCTTCTATTTGAATAGCCTTTCCCCCATATTGGTAGGCTGGGTATTTCTTGTATCTCTTTTTTTTTTTTTGCTTTTCCATGGTTGGTTGGTGTTAGTGGTGTTGTTTTCAGAGGATAAGATAGGCAACCCCAAGCCCAAACTTTAGATAGGCAACCTCAAGCCCAAACTTTAGATAGGCAACCCCAAGCCCAAACTTTAGATAGGCAACCCCAAGCCCAAACTTTAGATAGGCAACCCCAAGCCCAAACTTTAGATAGGCAACCCCAAGCCCAAACTTTAGATAGGCAACCACAAGCCCAAACCTTTAGATAGGCAACCCCAAGCCCGAACTTTAGATAGGCAGCCCCAAGCCCAGACTTAAGATAGACAACCCCAAGCCCAAACTTTAGATAGTCAACCCCAAGCCCAAACTTTAGATAGGCAACCCCAAGCCCAAACTTTAGATAGGCAACCCCAAGCCCAAACTTTAGATAGGCAACCCCAAGCCCAAACTTTAGATAGGCAACCCCAAGCCCAAACTTTAGATAGGCAACCCCAAGCCCAAACTTTAGATAGGCAACCCCAAGCCCAAACTTTAGATAGGCAACCACAAGCCCAAACCTTTAGATAGGCAATCCCAAGCCCAAACTTTAGATAGGCAACCCCATGCCCAGACTTTAGATAGGCAACCCCAAGCCCAAACTTTAGATAGGCAACCCCAAGCCCAAACTTTAGATAGGCAACCCCAAGCCTGAACTTTAGATAGGCAACCCCAAGCCCAAACTCTTTAGATAGGCAACCCCAAGCCTAAACCTTAGATAGGCAACCCCAAGCCCAAACTTTAGATAGGCAACCCCAAGCCCAAACTTTAGATAGGCAAACCCAAGCCCAAACTTTAGATAGGCAACCCCAAGCCCAAACTTTAGATAGGCAACCCCAAGCCCAAACTTTAGATAGGCAACCCCAAGCCCGAACTTTAGATAGGCAACCCCAAGCCCAAACTCTTTAGATAGGCAACCCCAAGCCCAAACCTTAGATAGGCAACCCCAAGCCCAAACTTTAGATAGACAACCCCAAGCCCAAACTTTAGATAGGCAACCACAAGCCCAAACTTTAGATAGGCAACCACAAGCCCAAACCTTTAGATAGGCAACCCCAAGCCCAAACTTCAGATAGGCAACCCCAAGCCCAAACTCTTTAGATAGGCAACCCCAAGCCCAAACTTTAGATAGGCAACCCCAAGCCCAAACTCTTTAGATAGGCAACCCCAAGCCCAAACTTTAGATAGGCAACCCCAAGCCCAAACTCTTTAGATAGGCAACCCCAAGCCCAAACCTTAGATAGGCAACTCCAAGCCCAAACTTTAGATAGGCAACCCCAAGCCCAAACTTTAGATAGGCAATCCCAAGCCCAAACTTTAGATAGGCAACCCCATGCCCAGACTTTAGATAGGCAACCCCAAGCTTTAGATAGGCAACCCCAAGCCCAAACTTTAGATAGGCAACCCCAAGCCCAACCCCTGTCTGCCTCTGACAACATGCCAGGTAGGCTGCAGTGTTGTTATTCTTTACTTCTTGTGAGAGTCTCGGTGACACATGGGTGCACCCGGGTCTAACTGCCATTAACTTCCTTCACCTGGGCCTCCACACACCTGGGCCTCTACACACCTGGGCCTCTACACACCTGGGCCTCCACACCTGCCTCCACGCCTGGGCCTACACGCCTGGGCCTACACGCCTGGGCCTACACGCCTGGGCCTACACGCCTGGGCCTCCACACCTGGGCCTCCACACCTGGGCCTACACACCTGGGCCTACACTTCTGGGTATACAGGAGTGAAAGGTCATGAATGAGCCGACCAACTGACAAGCAATGCTCTAATGCATATGGGAAGAAGCATGGACAGAGCTTATATCAAGAAAGCAGTACAGACTAGGCACCAGATAAGGATGAATCACTTATGCTAACATGATTCTGTGACAGGGGAGTAGAGCGTGGTGAAGCATGTCTATACTATATTCAAGGCCAAGACAGGAGACACTATAATCAGCTTTTCATGAGACATTTCATCAGAGGTACTTTGGAGTGGCTGCCGCATTTATGGACTGAGCATGCATGGGAATGCTCAATGAGCAATGATGTTGACATAAAATAATTTGTGTCTTCCACAAGACAGCCCAATATTGAAAACGTTTGGCCAACTTATACTCAACAACAATAGCAACACTTCTATATATGTGTGTGTGTATACATGCGTGCATGCATGTGTGTATGTGTGTGTGCATGCATGCATTTTCGTTTGCATGCGTGTGTGCATGTGTATGAGTGTGTGAGTATATATACACACACACACACACTATCAAAATGCAAGTATTGTTTCTGAAAAGCAAACACTTACGGATACTAAATAGAAGCTAGCAATGATAGTTGAGCCATAGTAAAATCCAATCTGGTCAACCAAAGCGCCACCTATTGTTGGTCCTATAAATGCTCTGTGAGGAATAAACATTACATATATGAGGGGAAGTCAATAAGTAGGTCACAAATGGTTGCTTTAAAAAAAAAAAAAGAAGATAACAACTTGAAAACCATTTATTTTTACATATACACTGTGCCTTTATTTTTCAACATAACTTCCACCAATACTGATGCACTTGTTCCATCGTTTTATCAGTCCTCCAAAACCTCCTGCATAGAACTGGGTGATCTGTTTTCTAAACCACATTTTCATTTACCATTCAACCTCTGCATCATTTGCAAAATGTCTCCCACCAAGGCAGGTTTTAAGTGGATCAGAAGGTTGGAAATCGCTAGGGGCTAAGTCGGGCTAAGGTGAATGTTCCCGAAGTTACCACCCTAGATGTTAATTTTGTCTTGAGTTATGTATGTGGTCTGGCCTTGTCATGAAGCAGCAGTACTCCTATAGTCAGCAGGCTTGCACGTTTTCTTCGAGTTGCATCATGAAGCATCAATAGAACTTTACAGTATAAATCAACATTCACATTGTCACCTAAATTTTTTTTTTTAAACTGGATACACCACTCCACTGCCTGACAATACCAGTACACTGTCATAATAACCTTCCCTGTTGATGGCGTAACCTTTAGTTTTTTTAACACAAGGCAAAGAAGGATGTTTTCATTGCACTGAAGCACGCTTTGATTCAGGCTGATGCAGCCATGATTTGTCCCCAGTTATAATCCTGTTCAGAATTTCTTCTCAAGCTGCAAGCAGCCTTTTTGCTAAAAAAAAAAAAAACATACACACAACAGCACATTGTTCTTTGAGGGTACACTCCGTACGTACAGTCACTATTTTGATTCTGTGTTGCGAATGTGCATGCAGCACCTAGCGCCACCTAACCAACACAGACATAAAGTTTGATGTTGCTGTCACCTAATGACACCTTTAGAAACCTTCAACTACATTGTCCTGCCATCCCATAACCATTTATGCTTTACTTATTGACTCTCCCTCATACAACTGAAAATGAGAACTGGTTTATTATCAAACAATCATTAACAATAAATCTTAACTCATCTTACAATATCTGCAGTTTCTTGAATGAGTGAGCATTTTTTGCCCATCTTCTGCATCATTCCCATTGTGTCCATAAACCACATTTCATGTAAGTGTCAGATACTTCTAAACTTGTCTGCTTTTCTCTGTAGTTCACAAGCGTATATCAGTAGAGACTAAATACAAGTGCAATAAGTAACTGCAATTCCTCATCTACTTTTGAAACTTTCAATGCCTTTCTACACTTTCTGAGTTTTAGCTAGATTATGAATCAAAATATTCTACAAGATGTAGGTAGTATCAGTCCCTCACCAACCTATTTCTGTCAACTGTCATGGCATACATGGTAGATATCAATGCCTGTCCATATACTCTGTCCATGGCAGGTCCCTCACCATGACAGGTCACATAACCTGCTTATGCTGCTCTCTCTCTATCTCTCCATGATAGATAAAACTACCTGCTTTTACAGCTCTCTCTCTTTCTCTCCATGACAGATAAAACTACCTGCTTTTACAGCTCTCTCTCTTTCTCTCCATGATAGATAAAACTACCTGCTTTTACAGCTCTCTCTCTCTTTCTCTCCATGACAGATAAAACTACCTGCTTATACTGCTCTCTCTCTCTCTTTCTCTCCATGACAGATAAAACTACCTGCTTATACTGCTCTCTCTTTCTCTCCATGATAGATAAAACTACCTGCTTTTACTGCTTTCTCTCCATGACAGATAAAACTACCTGCTTTTACTGCTCTCTCTCTTTCTCTCCATGACAGATAAAACTACCTGCTTATACTGCTCTCTACTGCTCTCCATCTCTCCTGCTCTCTCTCTCTCTCCATGATAGATAAAACTACCTGCTTATACTGCTCTCTCTCTCTCTCTCTCCATGACAGATAAAACTACCTGCTTACGCTGCTCTCTCTCTCTCCATGACAGATAAAACTACCTGCTTATACTGCTCTCTCTCTCCATGACAGATAAAACTACCTGCTTATACTGCTCTCTCTCTATCTCTCCATGATAGATAAAACTACCTGCTTTTACAGCTCTCTCTCTTTCTCTCCATGACAGATAAAACTACCTGCTTATACTGCTCTCTCTCTCTCTTTCTCTCCATGACAGATAAAACTACCTGTTTATACTGCTCTCTCTTTCTCTCCATGATAGATAAAACTACCTGCTTTTACTGCTTTCTCTCCATGACAGATAAAACTACCTGCTTATACTGCTCTCTCTCTTTCTCTCCATGACAGATAAAACTACCTGCTTATACTGCTCTCTCTCTTTCTCTCCATGACAGATAAAACTACCTGCTTATACTGCTCTCTCTCTCTCCATGATAGATAAAACTACCTGCTTATGCTGCTCTCTCTCTCTCTCTCCATGACAGATAAAACTACCTGCTTATGCTGCTCTCTCTCTCTCCATGACAGATAAAACTACCTGCTTATACTGCTCTCTCTCTCTCCATGACAGATAAAACTACCTGCTTATACTGCTCTCTCTCTCTCTCTCTCTCTCTCTCCATGACAGATAAAACTACCTGCTTACCTGCTCTCTCTCTCTCTCTCTCTCTCTCTCTCTATGACAGATAAAACTACCTGCTTATGCTGCTCTCTCTCTCCATGACAGATAAAACTACCTGCTTATACTGCTCTCTCTCTCTCCATGACAGATAAAACTACCTGCTTATACTGCTCTCTCTCTCTTTCTCTCTCCATGATAGATCAAACTACCTGCTTATACTACTCTCCATGATAGATCTAACTACCTGCTTATACTACTCTCTCCATGATAGATCTAACTACCTGCTTATACTACTCTCTCCATGATAGATCTAACTACCTGCTTATACTACTCTCTCCATGATAGATCTAACTACCTGCTTATACTACTCTCTCCATGATAGATCAAACTACCTGCTTATACTACTCTCTCCATGATAGATCTAACTACCTGCTTATACTACTCTCTCCATGATAGATCAAACTACCAGCTTATATTACTCTCCCTTTTTGTCACATAACCTGCTTATATTACTCTCTCCATGATAGATCAAACTACCTGCTTATATTACTCTCCCCTTTTGTCACATAACCTGCTTATATTACTCTCCCCTTTTGTCACATAGTAAAGTAAAAGTAAAGTAAAGATCCCTTTTCACGCCTTTCGGCGCATCGGGCATATGGGCAGAGCGTCCCATATTTTTACAGACCATCAGCACTGTGGGTAATGTGGTCAGCATTACGCCGGCTGTCTTTACTTTCCCAGGACAGCCCATCCTGGTACCCATTTTAGGCTGGGTCGACCTGCGACGTCCCATACCACGACAAAAATCCACGCAGCCTGCAGTGGGTTTCGATCGCGGTATGCTGGCTTACGAGTCGGACTTGCAATGCCTTAGCCACGGACGCCGCTATTTTGTCACATAACCTGCTTATATTACTCTCCCCTTTTGTCACATAACCTGCTTATATTACTCTCCCCTTTTGTCACATAACCTGCTTATACTACTCTCTCCATGATAGATAAAACTACCTGCTCTTTCTCTCTCTCTCTCTCTATGGCTCTTTAAAGTGGCTCAATCACCAGTTACCGGCACCTATCTTCAAAAATTCAGTCAGATGTCAAGCTGAAAATTATCTAACAAAATTAACAAAGTGTCAGACAAGAAAAACATCAAGATTGAACTGACCCTAGACAGAAGGTGGAGTTGAATAACCCGGATACCAAACCAAATGTGTTCAAACTGTCAGGTAATCCGATGTCTCTGTCAGGAAAAACAAACCAGCATCAGAGTTATCATCATCATGTGCCTTCTAGATTTATACAAATTATTGTTTAGGTAATTGTTTACATAATTGTTTACATAATTGTTTACTTAATTGTTTACACCAGAGCCTTAAATGGGCACCAGCTACAGTCCTGGGAAGTAAAGGAGGCTGGCCTGATACTGGCCACATCAACCACCAAGTGACAACTGATCTATAAAATATAGGTCTGGCCAAATAATGCCAGAAGGTGCGAGAAAGGGTCCTTCACTTGACATTAATTGTTTACAATTAGCACCAGCTTTGGGGCCTCAGAGATGTGGTTGGAGTGACAAATGTAACTAACAATGATTGTCTGGACAAAGTTAATGAAAACAGAGCTTTATGATCAACTATAAGATGCAGACAAATAGTTTTATCTGGTCAAAAGAAGAGATGTGAGGTATCCAAGAAAATTCTGGCTACTGAAAATGTCAGCTGTAACAGAGGCAGATGATGAGAAATGTTGATGGATGGTCTAAGATAGAGGCAAGTCATCAACAGCAGGGAATCCAGAACAGCAAGGACTGAAATGTGTGGACAGACAAGAATGAGGAACCATCTAACAAGGCCTATGATAATCACTGTTTAAGAGATGCAATGTAGAGTGACTACTGCACTAGATTTTTACCAGCAGGTGATCAGTCTATGGAGATATTTTGTTATGATAGTATGAAGCAAGGTAAACATAGTTGCCAAACAACGGCTGGTCAGGTGGCCAGCCTAGCGCATTGACCAGATCACTGGTCAAGTGTCATTTGGTGAAGTGTAAACTATCATTTTCTGTGAAGCTTGCCATATAAATAAACCCAGCTCACACAGTCTCAATCAGAGGAATGGCACAAACTCAAGACCAAACTCAAGTTTGGAGACACACACATAAATATCCAAAGATTTGCAGAGGTCTGTACCCACAGACCTGTATATCTTGGCCAAGCAGTCAGATTGAGGTCACCTAATATGCCAGAGGGAATGCAAACAGGACCTGTACCTTTGATCTTTTTATTCAGCCATATTCATTTTCAACTGTTGGCCAGACTTTTTACCCTACACATTTCCTTCTGGCACAAAGCTGGAGTTTGTTGACGATGAAACAACTAAAACTGGTTGAGGAAACATGAAGCATTTCTGGACCATGCAGGCCAGTCGAGACGGGCTTATGGATAATCCAGGCTCACCAAATTGTGCTGTGCTTAAAACTTGACCTGACTGTATTCTAATGTGTTTGTTGCTGTTGCAACCATTCTGTGTTTCCAAACGATATAGTGTTTCCTTGTGCCTCAGTGAGACATAGTGATGGGCAATCCAGGTCAGGGATGAAGTTCCTCATCTCCATATCACAAAGCTAGGGTAGTAGAGACCATGTGTTGTTATGCTTCACCTGCTTTATTTACCTAAGAGGAAAGGTAACACCAATACATCTGGAGCACAGCATGTGGCAGCAGCAGCTAGAACAAAAGAGCAGTTAGTCAGTACTTTCTCTGTTTGATATTCTAAAATGTCTCTTCACAAATGTGTAGTGCCAATATATGTCTTCTGCATTTATTCTGGTTTCTAAGCTTGGAGCAGGCAATCAGGTCTGTGCAACATAATCCCTGTGTAGATGGTATTTGGGTACTGGGTTGGGAGGACATTCACAAAATACAGACATGAGCAGCCAAGAAAATACAGACACAGAAAGTCACAGAAATACAGACATAGTCATGGAAATACAGACATGGTAATAAAAATACAGACATAGAAAGTCACAGAAATACAGACATAGAAAGTCACAGAAATACAGACATAGTTATAGAAATACAGACATAGAAAGTCACAGAAATACAGACATAGAAAGTCACAGAAATACAGACATAGAAAGTCACAGAAATACAGACATAGTTATAGAAATACAGACATAGAAAGTCACAGAAATACAGACATAGTCATGGAAATACAGACACAAAAAATCACAGAAATACAGACATAGTTATAGAAATACAGACATAGAAAGTCACAGAAATACAGACATAGTCATGGAAATACAGACATGGTAATAAAAATACAGACATAGAAAGTCACAGAAATACAGACATAGTCATGGAAATACAGACATGGTAATAAAATACAGACATAGAAAGTCACAGAAATACAGACATAGTCATGGAAATACAGACATAGAAAGTCACAGAAATACAGACATAGTTATGGAAATACAGACATAGAAAGTCACAGAAATACAGACATAGTTATGGAAATACAGACATAGAAAGTCACAGAAATACAGACATAGTCATGGAAATACAGACATAGTAATATGGTAATAAAAATACAGACATAGAAAGACACAGAAATACAGACATAGTTATAGAAATACAGACATAGAAAGACACAGAAATACAGACATAGTCATGGAAATACAGACGTAGAAAGTCACAGAAATACAGACATAGTCATGGAAATACAGACATAGAAAGTCACAGAAATACAGACATAGTCATGGAAATACAGACATAGAAAGTCACAGAAATACAGACATAGTCATGGAAATACAGACATAGAAAGTCACAGAAATACAGACATAGTCATGGAAATACACACAGAGAGTGTCATGAATAAGACAAGACAGTCATGGAAATACATAGTCATGGAAATACACCCAGAGGGTGTGGAAGTGAACATATACCCAAGAACCAAGAACCAGAAAGTCCCTACCTGGCTCCGATGACCAGACACTTCATGGTGGGAACAATGGCACACCCGATACTGAAACCATAGAACACCAGCGTCACCGTCCACAGCTCCCCAGCAGCAGTACACATGTCTTGATAGTTGTCTACATGACACAATAACATTGTGACATTTGATAGTTGTCTACATGACACAATAACATGTGACATTTGATAGTTGTCTACATGACACAATAACATGTGACATTTGATAGTTATCTACATGACACAATAACATGTGACATTTGATAGTTATCTACATGACACAATAACATGTGACATTTGATAGTTATCTACATGACACAATAACATGTGACATTTGATAGTTATCTACATGACACAATTAACATGTGACATTTGATAGTTTCTATCTACATGACACAATAACATGTGACATTACATGATAGTTTGGATCTACATGACACAATAACATGTGACATTTGATAGTTATCTACATGACACAATAACATGTGACATTTGATAGTTATCTACATGACACAATACATGTGGACATTTGATAGTTATCTACATGACACAATAACATGTGACATTTGATAGTTGTCTACATGACACAATAACATGTGACATTTGATAGTTGTCTACATGACACAATAACATGTGACATTTGATAGTTGTCTACATGACACAATAACATTTGACATTTGATAGTTATCTACATGACACAATAACATTTGACATTTGATAGTTATCTACATGACACAATAACATTTGACATTTGATAGTTATCTACATGACACAATAACATTTGACATTTGATAGTTATCTACACATGACACAATAACATTTGACATTTGATAGTTATCCTACATGATCATTTGACATTGATAGTTTATCTAATGACACCCCGTTGTTTGTATAACCATTTGACATTTGATAGTTATCTACACGACACAATAACATGTAACATTTGATAGTTATCTACATGACACAATAACATTTGACATTTGATAGTTATCTACACGACACAATAACATGTGACATTTGATAGTTATCTACATGACACAATAACATGTGACATTTGATAGTTATCTACATGACACAATAACATGTGACATTTGATAGTTATCTACATTACACAATAACATGTGACATTTGATAGTTATCTACATGACACAATAACATGTGACATTTGATAGTTATCTACATGACACAATAACATGTGACATTTGATAGTTATCTACATGACACAATAACATGTGACATTTGATAGTTATCTACATGACACAATAACATGTGACATTTGATAGTTATCTACATGACACAATAACATGTGACATTTGATAGTTATCTACACGACACAATAACATGTGACATTTGAAAGTTATCTACATGACATATCAGTATTTCTTTCTTTGTTGTCCATGGTATTTTGAGAACATTTCAGCTCAAAAGCCTCTAAAACGGAATGGCAGACAGTTTACAACTCAAATCTGTCAGCTGCTACAGGGATGATGAATGCTCTCAAAGTTGTAACCTTGACTTCCTTGCTGGTGCTTAGCCTGCCTTACCATAGACATTTAATACTGTTCAATCTTTGTTTTATTATGGCCATCCTCCTTTTGACTTCTGCTGAACAGTTTCTATTGTTGTTTGTTATGGAACCTTGACAGTCAGTTTGTGACATTTCAAATTTTGTCATCCTTTAAAGTTATTTTTGGGTGATAACCAGTTTTCTATAATTATCTAGATGGCAAAAATGTATGTCAGTTCATAAATGACATGTGCAAAAACACATACAGAAATAAAGTGTAGATTTGTTACAGACTTACTTGGGCAGAAATGGGAACAGAGGTGAAGGTCCCATGAAAATAAAACCAAGTGTACAGACAAGGGAGCCGCCAATCAACAGCGGAGACTGGATATCCTACAGAAAAACAATTTTTTCAGTGATTAATTCACTGACTGTATCTGATTATTTGCAATTGTGTTAGATTTAACAATAGACCTCTCATTTCCCTGCGTCCCCAATCATATTTTGAAAATAGAAAAAGAAACAAGCAAACTATGCAGACATCTTGTATCACACTAATACTTTTTCTATACCCTGAAATTGAGGCAGCAAAAATTATTTATGTGAAAAATGTGTGCATGTGTTTGTGCTTGCATGTGTAATGTGTGTGTGTGTGTGTGTGTGTGCACATGTGCGGGGTTTGTCCCCTTGAGGACTGTAGTCTGTAACCTCTCAAGAATGACAATCATGTAACCTCTCCAGCATGACAATCATGTAACCTCTCCAGCAAGACAATCATGTAACCTCTCCAGCATGACAATCATGTAACCTCTCCAGCATGACAATCATGTAACCTCTCCAGCATGACAACCAAGAACATACAAATCCCTGAAGCCCCGTTCAACCATGACAATTATAAGGGGTGCCCCAACAGTTGCACAGTCACCTCAAGTTTAAACCGGTAAAGCAGATTCTTATAATCATAAAAACTACTACACTTTGGACAGCCAGAGTAACTAACAACAATGGTTTGAAAGAAGCTAATGAAAGTAAATTTCTATATATAACAATGAAAAGGAGACAAACACTGTTCTTTGGCCACGTAATGAGAAGAGAAGCAATGGAAAACATTGTGACAACTGGAAACATCAGTGGGAAGAGGTGTAGAGGCAGACCAAGAGAGATGATGCTGAAACCATGGCATGGGAGGGATATCATCAACAGAGCTGTTTCAAGCAACCAGAGATCAAGATCTGTGGAAACGCATGAGCACCTGCGCCAGTTGGCAGGGCACATAATGATGGTGATGATGACGACGATGAAACTCGTAAATCTCCAGCAACATTCTGACCTAGGGTTGGTCAAAGACACACACCCATATGCCTGTACGCAAGCATATACAGAGGCAGGCATGTACAGAAGCAGGCATGTACACAGGCACGTATAGAAGGATGTATCAAGGCTTGCTCATATTCACATATAACCAGCCTCATTCCACAATCTCTGTGTGAATGATGTGAAAAAATCCTAAGGTCAAGCAAACACACTCACGTACAAAAACTTCCCACTGTTTCTTACCTTCATATCACTAATATTTTGAGAACCCACATATAAAATAAACATACATACCACAGTATTCTTTCCACTCTTACTTTTACATCATCTTCTTCCAACACAGGAGACTTTCCTGTCAAGATACATGATCTATCATGTATCCTCACTCACTCACTCTCAGACATACACACATGCACACACAAGCACACACATACACACACACCTCTGCACTTACCTTTGTATCACTAAGGTAGCCCCACAAAGGGGCTGTAACAGCATATATGCCAGGTACAATCACAAAGAACAGGCCAATGAGTATTGTAGAGAGGCCAAACTGTAAAAAATATGCAACATTCAACATAAGACATTTTAAGAAATATTAATTTTCATAATCATAAAAATAGTAACATGACATGCCTGTCTGAAGTTTACAGTAACTATAAACTGTTTAAAGTTTATAATAACTTTAAACTGTTTCAGGTTAGCAGTAATTTTAAACTGTTTGGAGTTTACTGTAACTTTAAACTGTTTGGGGTTAACAGTAGCTTTGAACTGTCTGGTGTTTACAGTAACTTTAAAGTGACTGGGGTTTGCTGTAACTTTAAACTGTTTGGAGTTTACAGTAGCTTCAAAATGATTGGAGTTTACAGTAGCTTCAAAGTGATTGGAGTTTACAGTAGCTTCAAAGTGATTGAAGTTTACAGTAGCTTCAAAGTAATTGGAGTTTACAGTAGCTTCAAAGTGATTGGAGTTTACAGTAGCTTCAAAGTGATTGGAGTTTACAGTAGCTTCAAAATGATTGGAGTTTACAGTAGCTTCAAAGTGATTGGAGTTTACAGTAGCCTCAAAGTGATTGGAGTTTACAGTAGCTTCAAAGTGATTGGAGTTTACAGTAGCTTCAAAATGATTGGAGTTTACAGTAGCTTCAAAATGATTGGAGTTTACAGTAGCTTCAAAGTGATTAGAGTTTACAGTAGCTTCAAAGTGATTGGAGTTTACAGTAGCTTCAAAGTGATTGGAGTTTACAGTAGCTTCAAAATGATTGGAGTTTACAGTAGCTTCAAAGTGATTGGAGTTTACAGTAGCTTCAAAGTGATTGGAGTTTACAGTAGCTTCAAAGTGATTATAGTTTACAGTAGCTTCAAAGTGATTGGAGTTTACAGTAGCCCTAACCCTACCAAACATGAGGCCCTGAACCTAATTGCCCACTATACCTGAGCTTCTGGGCATTAACACGAAAAAACCAATGTGTTATACACAAATATTAGTTACATGCAAACAAGTGGCTAGAATATGATGAAACTTGAAGACATTGTAGAAAATAGATTTACCTTTCATCTAGAGCCAATATTCCACTTTTGTGTACCAATCCACCCATCAGGATCAACCTTGTTTCACAAAGTGAACACCAGGTGTCGCTGATTGAGGGACATGAACCCTTCTCCTACTTTCGATCTATTTCTAGATTTATAATTTTCAAAATTCACATCATTCAAGCTCTCACTGACTGTGTCACTTCAACTGGGAACGTATTTTTCCTGAAATTATGACTCAAGAGTCTGAATCAACCAAAGTATCGATAATCTGTTGGACTGTGAAAAGCCTAGACCTACTTCACTTTCCTGTCGAAGTGCTTGGTTTATCAGCCGCTCGTTTTATTGTGAATTTTCAGAATTTTTTTTTATGTTAATCCACACAAAGTAAATCCAAACACCAGTGGGCTGCCATTCACAATGACTAACCATGTTGTTTGATCACAACTGGTTGGTTATTTTTAGTTTGCGACACATTTTATAAAGTAGTAGGCAAATTCCTAAAAAACTTGGACAACGGTATAGTGGCAAGATAGAAAAATTACAGCAGTAGCAGGACATCGGTCTGATAGAGTTAAACTTTCTGGGGTTTTCAGTAACTTTACAGTGTTTGGAGTTTACAGCAGCTTTCAATTGCCTGGTGTTTACCGTAACATTAAACTGTTTTGGGTTTACAGTAGCTTCAAACTGTTTGGGGTTTGTAGAAACTTTAAAGTGTTTGGAGTTTACAGTAACTTTAAAGTGTTTGGAACTTTCAGTAGCTATACACTGTCTGGAGTTAACAGTAACTTTAAAGTGTTTATAGTTTACAGCAACTTTACACTGTTTAGGGTTTGCAGTAATTTCAAAGTGTTTGGTGTTTACAGTAAATTTAAACTGTTTTGGATTTGCAGGTAAGGTGAAGTGACAAATCTGTGTCAAAAAAGACAGTCAAGGATGGGCATAAATTTTTCAAGGAAACCGTTGAATTAATGACGATCTTTCCTGGCCACATTTGGTGCATATGGGTTTTCTTTTATCCCACCTTGTACATATTGATGAATGAAAAAACACAAAGTCAGATATCAAACAGTCTCACCTGTTCCAGGTGATTTGACAATGTGGGATCCAGAAACCCGATCCCACTTGACCCCACCATTATACACATCATGGTCACCCAAACCATGGAGCTCTTTAGTAGTGAGAAAACAGTTCCTTGCTGTTTTGTACCTGACTCTGTCAAAGAAGAAACATGGTGGAATTGAATGATTGTAAACACTTGACAAACCTCATAAAGGAGAGGACATACCTCAAACAGGAGAGGACATACCTCAGACAGGAGAGGACATACCTCAGACAGGAGGTAAAAAACTATTTGCTGATAACATAAAGCAGCCAATATGAAGGAATCGATTTCATCTGACTTTAGACAGAAATGAGCATGTAATGTTTATATAAGCATAGCCTAAGTACTGTTAGGTTAGTTGTGTATCCTTTACAGGATGTTGCAGAACCAACCCCAACAGCCCCTGACTGTTGTGCAGTTTTTATAGGTGAATCTACAGTAGTTTGCCAGTGCTTTCTAGACGGTCGGCTTTCTTGATACCACTGTCGAAACCAACGCAAGGCGCATGGCCCGCAGCTGGGATCAAACCCGGCATCCCGACATTATGAAGCGTTTGCATTGACTTAGCCACAGAGCCGACCTAAGTACAGTACACTATAAAACATATAACTACAACATAATCTGACCACTCCACAGTACTGGCTGTTTATTTACCACTTCAACATGATCTGTTTACTAACTACTGACATGACATGATAATATGTTTACCGACTGCTAAAATAAAAGGATAAAATGTTTACTAAATACTGACATGACATGATAATATGTTTATCAACTGGTGAAATAAAAGGATAAAATGTTTACTAACTACTGACATGACAGGACAAAATGTTGACCGAATGCTAAAATGAAAGGGCACAATGTTTACAAACTACTGACATGGTGGAATGTTTATTTTCTACTGACATTATGAGACAAAATGTTGAGCAACTGTTGACGAACAAATGCTTGCCGCCTTCCTGTCCCACCACCCACCCCCACATACCTTTTGGTGGTGGCAAGCAGGTAAATATGGCCAGCCCATTGATTATAATAATGACACCAACCACCCAAAATGGCAGACCAAATCCTCCAACCTGAAACAAACAAAAAATTCTTTGCACAAGTTTTAATTTTTAGCACTGCAAATTCTGTGGCAACCAGCCAATTGCCATCACCTGAATATGCAGTTTACAACAAACATCTTCAGGAGAACAGACGAAAAGTATTCCCCATGAAATTCACAGCTCACAGTGGCACACCATGCACTGGCTGATGTAATAGGATTGTTGTCTACATCTCTATGGCCCCATACACTTTTTGTGTGTGCGCTGAGGATGAAACTCTAACCTTCCACTGTTTTACTAGGGAGAACAGAGTCCACTTCTTAAAAGTGAGATAGGCTTGAGCAAGAGAGGCTAGGAGACATTCAGAGCCTTGTACTAAGCTCCATTAGGACTTAATTGAGTTTAATAATATAGACTTATGTATATATACGTATGTGCATATTTCATATAAAATCATAGATTATACAAACTGAATATGCCACAAACAGACACTAAAGCACCTCATTTAAGTGAAAACAATCCCCATAATAGCTGATAAAGGCAAGAACATTGTCCCACGCAGACAAGAACACTCCTCACCAAGGCAAGAATATTCTTCATACAGGCAAGAACATTCCTCATATAGGAAAGAACATTACTCACACAGACAAGATCATTCTTTATAAAAGCAAGAACATTTTCCCATACAGACAAGAACATTCCTCATACAGACAAAAACATTCTTTATAAAAGCAAGAACATTTTTTTTACACAGGCAAGAACATTTCTCACACAAGCAAGAACATTCTTTATAAAAGCAAAAACATTTTTCCACACAGACAAGAACATTCCTCACAAAGGCAAGAATATTCCCTATAAGGACTTTTTTCTTCTAAAAGAAGAAGATGCTCATCACAAAGTTTATGTTACAGAAGTGCTGAATAATTGCCTTTGACATGTGCAGGTAATGGGCACCACCGAGTGCTGCCAGAAATAGGCTTTGGCTTATACAAGCAAGAACATTCCTTATAAAGGCAAGAACATTTTTTATAAGGACAAAAACATTCTTCAGATAGGTGAAGACAGACAGGCAATGACACAACTCAGACAGGCAAGGACATAATTCAGGTAGGCAAGGACATACTCAGATAAAAGATAGTAAAATACGGGGGTGACTGCAGTCAAGCTAATGGAAGAAATTCCAGGAAAATTTGACTAAAAAGCTTAACCAAATGGGGAAGCAGAAAAATGTGCACAAAACAACACAAATAAGGTAATGTTTCGACCAGGCAGCCTTTGTCAAACATGAAGTGAACTACACAAAAATAAGGAAGAGCCTCTCCTCTTTTCGTTATTTTTGTTAGTTCACTTCATGTTTGACAAAGGCTGCCTGGTCGAAACGTTACCTTATTTGTGTTGTTTTGTGCACATTTTTCGGCTTCCCCATTTGGTTAAGCTTTTTAGTCAAATTTTCCTGGAATTTCAGACAGGAGAGGACACCACATACAGGAGAAAACACACCCAAGACAGGAGAGGACATACCTCAAACAGGAGAGGACATACCTCATAGAGAGCTCCACCTATAGTTGGCCCGACCATGAGGCCTATACCGATGCAGGTCTCCAGAGTGGCCTGGTCAGAGAGAGAATAAAACAATTATTTTCAGAAAACAATCAACATCATCCTGTTGTGCCATGTACATCCGATAGGGCTGGCAGTCTATTCTTCCACTCTATTCTATCCTATACATTTGTTTCCACATCAAGAATGGACTCCATTCCGGCACCTTTGGCCTTTCTCATCGATGTTCATCTCAGGTTTTTTTTTTTTTCCGGACATCTTTGATGAAGAAGTAATATCAATCAACCCTTTGTCAACATATAAACCTTTTATTTGCCCACAACCAAAACAAAATCCTCACAGATTTCAAGATAAATATTCTCTTCTCTCTACTATCTGACTCGGCCTAGCTGCGTTTCAAAAGCTCACGGTATATGATAACCTTTCTCTGCTTGCCTTTATTATTTTTCTGCAACATTGGGACCCAAGCTGCATCTGCAGTCTCAATTAATACATTGATACCCCTGCTCATGTCTTCTTCTTCTTCTTCATTCTGAGCTCTTGAGGTTCACTTCTATAGATATCACCCGCCTCCATTCTTCTCTCTGATTGACCTTTTATTTCCTGTTGGTGACACCAAGTGTTTATAGGTCTGTCTGCATGATATCTATCCATTGTCTGCCTTGTGGTCTACGACCATTCAACTCCCTTGAGTATAAAGTTTTTGCCTCTCTGTCATCAGCCATTCTTTCAATATGCTCCAGTCTATTAACCCTCATGATTCAAGTGATCAATGGTGATTTAAACAGATTATGAACTTTGTTGTTGCTTCTCACTCTCTATTCCCCACTGTTTGCATCTTTGACTGGTCCGAAGATTTGTCGAAACTCTTGTTTTAAAAAATGCTTAACAAGACTTCCTCTTTTAGTTTTGCTCCAAGTTTCAGCTTACATCAGCAATAAAAATTAATTATATAAAAAATAATAGGCTACTTACATCAACAACAAGTACTTACAAAGACAGAAGCAATGTGGTTAGGAAACTCATTAGAAATTATAGCAAAACTGGCTGTAGAAAAAGCGGACACTCCCAGAGCCTCGACAGTTCGAACTAGGAAAGACATGACCACAAATATAGTCCCCGACGGCCCTTTGTCCAGGAACCTGTATGCAGAAAAAAGTTTTTTTTTTCAAAGTAACAATCAACAATAATAGTTTTTTTTTTCTCCTCTTTTATGTGATTAGAATTAACATTAAAACAACTTTTTCTGTATTTAAATCTTGCCCCAAAATGCTCTCTTTCCTCTTTCTGTGGTTATGCGTTACACCAACAAACTGACTTGTTTTATCTTATAGCACATTGATTGTAGCAATAACTCATTGACTGTAGCATTTATTTATTGTTTGTAGCAATAACACAATGAATGCTGCACTTATTTGAACAAATTTACATCTACCCAGAACAATAGTACATTCACCCCAAAAATGTAGCATTTACTAAAAGAACCTTTTACTCAATCAATGGAACATTTACCCAATCAATGTAAAATTTACCAAATCAAGGGAATATTTACCCAATCAATGGGAAATTTACCCAATCAAGGAAGCATTTATACAATCAAGGGAACATTAACCCAGTCAAGAGAACATTTAATCAATGGAACATTTACACAGTTAATGGAACACAGACCCAATTAATATAAAGTTTACTCAGTCAAGGAAACTTTCACAGAAACCGGACAACCAAATAATTACCCAAACAGAATGGAAGTAGACCCAGCAACCATCATACCACAGGTGTAGACAAACTTGGCACCAAGAAATGTCAGCTGGAAGAGACAGACAAATACATGTCCTTGCTGAAATATTTATCAGGCAGGAGCAATCCAACATCACACAGGATGGTCAAGTATCACACATGTTCAATCCAACACTCAGGAGCAATCCAACATCACACAGGAACAGTCAAATATCCTACAAGAACAATTAAACTTCACATAGAAACAATCAAATATCACAGGGAAGCAATCAAATATCACACTTAAACAATCAAATAGCACATGGAAACAATCAAATATCACACTAAAACAATCAAACATCACATGGAAACAATATCACATGAAAACAATCAAACATCACTTGAAAACAATCAAATCTCACATAGAAACAATCAAACACTAGGCTCAAATACCCCCTGCACCCGAAAAGTATTAAATTCACTAGGTAACTGCAATTTGTTTTTTTATATAGACAATCAAACATTAGCAAGGAATAATCAAACATAACAGGGATATAATTAAACATCACATGGAAACAATCAAACAAAACATAGTATAAACAAATATCACACAAAGCTATCAAACATGACTAAGAAAGAAAACAACAACCCATGTTCCCACTGTATTGTTTCCTTCATTCGACTATGATAACTTTACTCTCCATTGGTAAAATGTATCACATATCGCAGATGGTCCGTTTCATGTGGTAATGATCCAATTTCTTTGTCTACATTTTTTCAGACCAAAAAAGAATGTATTTTGTTACAGACCTTTCTGGACAATGTAGTAACAGAAAATTCTGGCATACCTTCCTGGACAATGTGATGAACAGAAAATTCTGGCATACATTCCTGGACAATGTTGTAGACAGAACATTCTGGCATACATTCCTGGACAATGTTGTAGACAGAACATTCTGGCATACATTCCTGGACAATGTTGTAGACAGAACATTCTGGCATACATTCCTGGACAATGTTGTAGACAGAACATTCTGGCATACATTCCTGGACAATGTTGTAGACAGAACATTCTGGCATACATTCCTGGACAATGTGATGAACAGAAAATTCTGGCATACATTCCTGGACAATGTTGTAGACAGAACATTCTGGCATACATTCCTGGACAATGTTGTAGACAGAACATTCTGGCATACATTCCTGGACAATGTTGTAGACAGAACATTCTGGTATACCTTCCTGGACAATGTTGTAGACAGAACATTCCGGTATACCTTCCTGGATAATGTTGTAGACAGAACATTCTGGCATACATTCCTGGACAATGTTGTAGACAGAACATTCTGGCATACATTCCTGGACAATGTTGTAGACAGAACATTCTGGCATACATTCCTGGACAATGTTGTAGACAGAACATTATGGTATACCTTCCTGGACAATGTTGTAGACAGAACATTCTGGTATACCTTCCTGGATAATGTTGTAGACAGAACATTCCGGTAAACCTTCCTGGACAATGTGATGGACAGAACATTCTGGCATACCTTCCTGGACAATGTTGTAGACAGAACATTCCGGTAAACCTTCCTGGACAATGTTGTAGACAGAACATTCTGGTATACCTTCCTGGACAATGTTGTAGACAGATCATTCTGGTATACCTTCCTGGACAATGTTGTAGACATAACATTCTGGCATACCTTCCTGGACAATGTTGTAGACAGAACATTCTGGTATACCTTCCTGGACAATGTTGTAGACAGAACATTCCGGTAAACCTTCGTGGACAATGTGATGGACAGAACATTCTGGCATACCTTTCTGGACAATGTTGTAGACAGAACATTCCGGTAAACCTTCCTGGACAATGTGATGGACAGAACATTCTGGCATACCTTCCTGGACAATGTAGTAACAGAACATTCTGGCATACATTCCTGGACAATGTTGTAGACAGAACATTCTGGTATACATTCCTGGACAATGTAGTAACAGAACATTCTGGTATACCTTCCTGAACAATGTTGTAGACAGAACATTCTGGCATACATTCCTGGACAATGTAGTAACAGAACATTCTGGTATACCTTCCTGGACAATGTGGTAACAGAACATTCTGGTATACATTCCTGGACAATGTTGTAGACATAACATTCTGGTATACCTTCCTGGACAATGTTGTACACATAACATTCTGGTATACCTTCCTGGACAATGTTGTACACATAACATTCTGGTATACCTTCCTGGACAATGTTGTAGACAGAACATTCTGGTATACCTTCCTGGACAATGTTGTAGACATAACATTCTGGTATACCTTCCTGGACAATGTGTGGTGAACTTACATAGTTTCCAAACACAGGGCAGGCTACAAAGTTGACCAGCTGGAAACTACTGAACACCAGGCCGATAGCCGTCTGAGAGGCTCCCTTGAGCTCTGCCTGCAGACGGTGAGAGACCAATTTGACTGGCACTGTTTGTAGCATGGACATGGTATTGAGGAGACAGACACAGCTAGAGGCAGACATCAGAGCTATACAAGACATATGGGTGAAACAGAGACAGAAGAGATGATACAGAGATAAATAAGATAGAGGTAGATGATACAGAGATATATACGACAGCAATATATATATGACAGAGAAAGATTAGACAAAGATGGATCAGAGAGAGAGAGAGAGAGATGAGACAGAGATATATGTTACAGAGACAGATGAGACAAAGAGAGATAAGACACCAAGAGAGATGAGACAGAGATAGAAAAATGAGAGAGAGGTGGATGAGACAGAGAGATGCAACAGCGGTAAATAAGATACAGAGATGAGACATAGGTAGATGAGACATAGACAAAATGATGAGACAGACAAAAGTAAGCCATAGGTAGATGAGGCAGAGATAGACGACATAGAAACAGATATGTGAAACCGAGGTAGATGAGGCAAATTAGACAGAAGTGGACATATATGAGACAGAGATATATGGTACCAATAGATGAGTCATAGATGAGACAAAAATAGATGAGACAGTGACAGATGAGAAGAGATGGATGAGGCAGAGATAGAAGAGGCAGAGAGAGATGAGAGAGAAATAGTGAGACAGAGATAGATGAGAGAGAAATAGTGAGACAGAGATAGATGAGGCAGAGATAGATGAGGCAGACAGAGATGACAAAGATAGATGAGGCAGAGATAGATGAGGCAGAGATAGAAGAGGCAGACCAAATGAGACAGAGACATGTGAGGTGAAGATAGGTGAGGCAAAGACAGGTACGTCTGACAGAAGAGACCAACTCTTGAGACAGAGTTTAAAGAGAAGGATGACACAGATGAGAAAGATATGTGAGAGAGAGATCAAACATACAAGTGAGACAGAGTGTGTTAGATAGAACATCAATATACTGTTTAAAAAAATTACAGTAGAAATGTATCTGACATGGACAAGCAGACTGGCTGACAGGTAGGTGTGTATGAGATATACTAAGATAGAAACAGAAATGAGATGTGTAATATACATGGATAGACAGACATCGCTGAGACAGACACAGCCCTAAATACATGTAATGTGGCAGGTAGGTCATTTTTGGGGTGTAGGATTGCTGTCCGTAGAATCAACACCCTAAGGATGAAAATCAACAGAAGCCAAGTCCAAGAAATTCTGTTTTACCGTCTAGTGCAGTTATATTAGAGCATCCCTGTGGACATCAGGTAACATGCAGTCCAATGTGGGCCTCAGGTAACATGCAGTCCAATGTGGGCATCAGGTAACATGCAGTCCAATGTGGACATCAGGTAACATGCAGTCCAATGTGGGCCTCAGGTAACATGCAGTCCAATGTGGGCATCAGGTAACATGCAGTCCAATGTGGACATCACGTAACATTCAGTCCAATGTGGACATCAGGTAACATGCAGTCCAATGTGGACATCAGGTAACATGCAGTCCAATGTGGGCATCAGGTAACATGCAGTCCAATGTGGGCATCAGGTAACATTCAGTCCAATGTGGACATCAGGTAACATTCAGTATAATGTGGGCATCAGGTAACATGCAGTCCAATGTGGACATCAGGTAACATTCAGTCCAATGTGGACATCAGGTAACATGCAGTCCAATGTGGGCATCAGGTAACATTCAGTCCAATGTGGACATCAGGTAACATTCAGTCCAATGTGGGCATCAGGTAACATTCAGTCCAATGTGGACATCAGGTAACATGCAGTCCAATGTGGACATCAGGTAACATTCAGTCCAATGTGGGCATCAGGTAACATGCAGTCTAATGTGGGCATCAGGTAACATTCAGTCCAATGTGGGCATCAGGTAACATGCAGTCCAATGTGGGCATCAGGTAACATGCAGTCTAATGTGGGCATCAGGTAACATTCAGTCCAATGTTGGCATCAGGTAACATGCAGTCCAATGTGGGCATCAGGTAACATGCAGTCCAATGTGGACATCAGGTAACATGCAGTTAAATGTGGGCATCAGGTAACATTAGGTATAGCAATGAGTAGTTTTGTTTTGTTTATTTTGCTATGAATTTTTGTCGGTATCTATAGACCCGACTGCGACCCGATAATGCAAAACGAATTGTCCGTTATTAAGAATTTATTTTTCTGTGCTCTTTACGTGAAAGATAAAATCGGAACAGTTATTATGAGTTATTGGGGAGATGCCAGGCTTTGACCTGAGATAGTTTTGACGCGTATAAAATAAATCGATTTTTTTTGGCAGCACGCAGTGAATTAACTGTACGTAATTTCATAAATATCTTTTTAATTAGACTGATTACCGCAATGTGTATTGTATCCTTGAATTCTGCGTTAATTGTTATATAAGTGTGGGAAATTTCACAAAGATTGGCAATACAGCACATGTTTAAAAAAATTGTTTAGTAGCATCACTGTTTTCGCTTCAAATCCAATGACGGTAAGTAATTTCGTAAATATCTTCTTAATTAGCCAGATTACCGCAATGTGTGATTTATTTTTGAATTCTGCGTTAATTTTTATATAAGTGTGGGAAATTTCAAAAAGATTGGCAATACAGCACATGTTTAAAAAAATTGTTAAGTAGCATCACTGTTTTCGCTTCAAATCCAATTTGTTTTCACTAGGAGACCGTTTTTGCCGCTTTACAATTAACTTAAAATAATTATTAAATTACCTAACGTTATTTTAATCATTTTTTTTTAAATCCACAACCATTGTAGCATTTGTTCATTCATCTGTCATTATCAAGAGCCCTTCGTATTCTCTGTTGGAGATATTTTTGCCTGATCACCCCCAAATCCCAAAAGTTAATTTAGGCCATCACTGGTAAGATGATTCTTTGGTAATTAACTTAGGATGCTTAGTAAATTGACAATGTTATGTGAGTTACTTTTTAAACATCCACAAACATTGTACCATTTTTTCATGTGTTTGTCATTATTTAGAGTTTACAGAATTTTATGTTGGAGATAATTTTACCTGCCCATATCTTGATCACGAATTTCACAAATTCTGGCACTAAATTCAACATTTTTTTTGTGTGTGGATGTCGTACAAGTTAATTAATTGGGAGCATCTTTCGAAGTCAGAGTGCACCTGTCTGAGAGTTACAGAACCAACAGTCTGCATGCAAATGAGTCTTAACTGTAAAATGGATGCAGAGGCAACAATCAGGTTCTGTCAACAGACTAGGGTCCAGGAGTGGACAAACAGCCAGAACTTTCCCCCGGGGTTTCTAGCCAGTCAACGTGAAGATGAAGAAGATTATATATGCAGTATACACACAATAGGTCATACCATAGAAAAAAACATTTACAGTTTATGTTCAAAATGAGATGTTTTTAGTCATGACAGTTTTCACATTTGCACCTTTTTATGTTTTATGTATCATCTGTAACGTTCTACGTTGTTTACAACTTAAGTATTCTCATGAATAGTATGGAGTTGAATGCAATTTTTACCAAAGACAATATTTTGTTTCACTGCATGCTGTTAAAAGTAATGCAATAATAATGCTTAACATTTGAAATATGTAACACTGTACAGTCACATTATTTATAACACATGAAAACTGCTTTAAAATTCTAAGTGCATACTATGAGTCTGTCATGTTTACTTCTAACATTTCCCTAATCTAGGCTGAGGCCTTCAGACCTTGCATGCAGGCACTGAAAAGCTTGGTAGACAGACCAGAGGGCTTACTGGACACACAACTTGATGCATTTGGAAATGAGATGATGGACGTGCAGCCTGAACTAAGAGACATGGAGGTGGCCACCTCGGATGAGTTTGTGGAGACAGTAAAATGTTTATTGCATGAATTTATTATTGTTCTTGAAAGACAGTTGAAATATTATTTTGATGGGACCATCCCCACTGAGTCACCAGAGT